GAGGTAATGGTCACAAATTAAATCTAAAACAAGAAACAAAATTATAAATACTGAAGAAGATGAAGGCAAACAAGCCTCAATCCACATACGAGAAGAGCGAGCCCCGCAGAGGAAGCAGTGCCCCTGCCGCAGTAACCCGCCCTCCGCCCTGATCCAAGGGGCTTTGGAAACGCCACTTGATCTTATAAAAGCTGAGTTTCACACAGAAACAGTCCCAAAGGTCAGCTTCTGAAGATAGCCACGGATAAATCAGGGAACAAAACCAAAGAGGAAGCAGGAAAGGCCCTACTCATCTAGAAAAACGGAATCCCAGACAACAAGCGTTAAGGGAGCTGCAGGCACCATTTAAACAACCACCTGTCAGTGACGGACGCGCAGGACAGGCTGACACAGACCTTGCACGGAAAGCGGAGCCTCGGCGCCTGAGAACAGGAAGTTCACAGAAGCGCCGTTTTTATCTGAGAAATTTCAGTAAGTCACAATATAAATAAGGACATGTTGATTTAAAGTAATACAATTGACACTTAAGTTTTTACCTAATTACACATCACATATCTGTATAATTATAAACTATTTATAAAAATCTGTATCTTGCAAATAGTATATTCAAATATCTTTTTGAAGCACCCATTGGAAATTAAGTATGGTGTCAATTAGGCCAAAGAGAACCTCAGAATTACCAAGGAGTAAAAGTTGAACAGTCACATTCTGACTGAAATGCAGTAGAATTAGATACTGATTTACAGTGTAAAAACCACACATAAATGAGAAAGTAGAAATGCATACCACTCTTATTGTTTCAAAAGGATATAAAGTGACAATTACAGATAATTTTGTTGAACGAAAGCTAAATTCATCAGTTATAGAATGATGTTAAAATTATGCTCAGAGGCAAATTAATCGATATATGTGGTTTTATTATTTTAAAAAATGAATAAATAACATAAATAAAAAGTTTTACTCCAGAAGTTTTATTTAAAAATAAGAATAGCCATAAAAAGAAATTCTAAGAGATACTTCTTTTTAAAAATCAAGTTAAAAGAGTGAAAGATATATATATATTTTGAGACAGGGTCTCAGTCTGTCTCCCAGGCTGGAGTGCTGAGTGTGATCACGACTCACTGCAGCCCCGATCCCTGGGGCTCAGGTGATCCTCCCTCTCAGCCTCCCGAGTAGCGACGTGCCCCCACACCCAGCTAAAGCACAAAGGAAGTTGACAATGGCAAAGAAACGTAACTACACATGTGCTGAGTGATTTTAAAAATCGTAATAGTGAGAACTAAGCTCTGATTTTTGTCTTATCTTGCCCAAATTCCTATCTGAGGAGCCTGGGGAGTCATGCCTTACAAACCATAAACTCTGATCAGATGGGTTTTATTTGACCCTGTATAACATGACTCACTTTCCAATCTGACTCTGGCAGAATATTATAAGACAAGGAAAAAAATCAAAATATTTAACCCTGAAATATGTTTCCTTGACATACCTTGAAATTGCCCTGCAGTCTCTTGAGGGAAAAGTCCACATTTTAAAGAAATTCCCTTCCCCCTTTGTTTTCCTTCCTTCTCAGATCTAGGAGGTAATCAACTAAGAGCCAGGCATGCTTTTAGGTCCAATAAGAAGCACGTTGGCTGGGCATGGTGGCTCATGCCTGTAATCCCAGCACTTTGGGAGGCCAGGGACAAAGGATCACCAGGTCAGGAGCTCGAGACCATCGTGGCCAACATGGTGAAACTCCATCTCGACTAAAATACAAAAAGTTAGCTGGCCGTGGTGGCGTGGGCCTGTAGTCCCAGCTACTTGGAAGGCTGAGGCAGGGGACTTGCTTGAACCCTAGAGGCAGAGGTTGCAGTGAGCCGAGATCACACCATTGCACTCCAGCCTGGCAACAGAGCAAGACTCCGTCTAAAAAAAAAAGAAGCATCTTACAACCTGCTCTCTCTGAAGTCTGCTATCTGAGAGCTTGCCCTGCACAATAAAACTTGGTCTCCACAATCCTTTATCTTAACCTAAACATTTCCTTTCTGTTGATCCCAGGTCTTCAGATAAACTCAACCAGTTGTCAATGAGAAAATGTTTGAATTCATCTGGAGCCTGGAAGCCCCTGCTTTGAGTCATCCCATCCTTCTGAGCCGAACCAATGTATTTCTGAAATGCACTTGATTGGTGTGTCATACCTCCCTAAAATATATAAAACCAAGCTCTGCCCCGGGCACCCTGGGTCCATACTCTCAGGATCTCCTGAGGGCTGTCACTCATGTTTGGCTCAGAATAAATCTCTAAAAATATTCTACAGAGTTTGACTCTTTTCATCAACAAGTGGACAGCGTCTGCTACACTGTATTCACAAATGCGGAAATCTCTGTTAAAGGATAGCTTTTAAATAGCCCCAAATCACATAAAAGTGTAGGCATATTTTACCAATAATCCTGGAAGACAATGAAAATGGTCTATAAATGAAGAGCATGCCTAAAGAATATACTAGAAAGTAGATCATTTCAATGGCAAAAGAACTTTTCCAGAAATTTTAGGAAAAAAGGAAAAACGATCCCATTTCCATGAGGATGAGAATGTTGTGGGCGGCGGCTGGGGAAGACAATGTGCCACACCGTTTCCCATTCTCTCCAGGACAGGCCTTGTGGGATCCTCCCTCCGTGGATGTCAGAGTGGGGCCTGAGGAAGGCACGAGGCACAGGAAGCCCTGGGTCAGCAGGGGGGACAGTGTGAGAGGGGGTGACTGTCCCCAGGCATTCATGCTTGGGCCTGGGGAGGAGCTGGGGGACGTGCCCAGACTCCTCTGCTCTTCACGCTGGGTGCAGCTTGTTCCAAACCCACCAAAACCAGAGGACCTGACGGAGCCTAGAGCATGACGCCAACTCAGGGCGGTGGAGGCTGCAGGGAGGAAAGGCATCTGGAGAACATCCAGCCAGCTCCTCCCAAAACAGGCCTCTGCTTGGGCACACAGATAATTAGTCCTGTCTAGGTTCAACATGCACAAAGAAAGAATTTAGAAGTGCAACCTAAAGAATGCTGAGAGCCCTGCTTTTATTTGCAGCCATAGCTAGTACCATCTATCTATCACAGAATGATAAAAATACTTTTACAAAATACAATATATGAAAAATTACTAGCCTTAAATATAAAGAATCTATAATAAAAAAAAAGAAAAAAATACAAAAACTTGTTTTATACGAAGATCATATACAGGAAATTCACAAAGAAAATTTCCATCTCTGCTGGGTGCGGTGGTTCATGCCTGTAATACCAGCACTTTGGGAGGCCGAGATGGGAGAATCACGAGGTCAGGAGTTGGAGACCAGCCTGGCCAACATGGTGAAACCCCATCTCTACTAAAAATAGAAAAATTAGCGAAGCGTGGTGGCACGCCTGTAATCCCAGCTACTCGGGAGGCTAAGGCAGGAGAATCACTTGAACCTGGGAGGTGGAGGCTGTACTGAGCTGAGATTGTGCCACTGCACTCCAGCCTGGGGGACAAAGTGAGACTCCATCTCAAAAAAAAAAATGGAAAAAAATTCCAATCTCAAAGCATATGGATTTTAAACTTTTAATCTCACTTGTAATTCATAAAACAAAGATAACGTGCCATTTTTCATAATAAAACTGGCACTGTCTTAACTAATAAAAACGGGCGGTTGTTTAAATGGCCACATTTAACGTGGTTTAGGGGCGCCATGCGGGTGCCTGTCCAGGGTTGTTGCTGAGTTTGATTTCTCAGAGGCGGGTCCTCCCTGGATTCTTCTCTCAGCGACACCACTTTCCTCCTGTGATTGGCAGCTTCTGTTTGTCCCCATCTGCACCCCCAGAATGAAGAGGAGCCATCCCTCGCTTGGTTTCCCAGTTCGTCCAGCCTCTGTTGCTCGCCTTTTTTGGGCTGTCCAACCCATCCCTATACTTGATGGGGTTCAAGGTCATTGGGGCAGTGCACACCAATTCCCCCAGTGGAATTTAGACATGAGTATAACGAGTTTGAACACATCCAAAATGGAAATGGAAATTCAACACAGCTCATCTTGGTGAGTTTTTCTTTGGTGTCCTACTGAAAAGCCTTACAGACTGTAACAGCACATTCTCTTTGACCCAGGAGGCATTAAAGGCAGATGTACCAGGCACAAGATGCACAAAGACGCAGCCCCTGCCCTCAGCATGCACCATGTGCTGGGGGACGGCTGCCGGTTCTCACGTGTTCTCACTCTTTCGATCCTGCAGGAACACGGAAATGACCTTCATGCTGACTTAACGACAGCCATGGGCATGAAAGCAGATATCTCAGTTCTGTGTTTGTTACTGGAATCTTTCTAACTAAAGACTATGGCTCTAAAATTGTCTGTCTGTCAGGGGAAAGTGGACTTTTCAAACTAAACCTTTGGGAAAGGTCATTTTCATGTTTCTTTTAAACATGAAAAATAGCACAATGGCGCAGGAATCTGACAATGCCAGCTTTCTTACTGTGGTTTGTCTTTAGACTAATTTTTTTACCGTCCTTATGTCTCAATTTCCTCACTTGCAAGAATGGGTATGACATTACCACATAGTCTGAGTACAAAATAAGATAATGTGAAACAATATATTTAGCTCACTATAGGTTGCTATGCTCTGGGAAAGGACAATAAAGACTTTCATGATTTAATTTTGCTTTTTGTCTAAAGCAAAAATAATATCTTATTGAGAAATGAGAAATCTCGGCTTCTCTGCTTTCGACCAAGGCCTTGAAGATGCAGAAGTTTTCTAAGCATCTCATGGAAAAATAAGGAACCCCGGGCATGTCTCAGTGAAAACAGCACCTCCCTGGAGGGTCACCCCAATATCTCTTTCTCTCATGGGAACCAACCTTTTCCTTACAGACATCCTAACTTTCTGAAATGTCTGCACCAGAAAGATGGTGGGCGCTTTGCTACATTAAAACAAACAAACGAATAGTAAGTTCAATGTCTACGGGCTGCATCCCGGAGCAAGGAGGGGCAAGCCATGCCCACACTCACCCAGCTGCGCTGGACACTGCAGGACGCCGCAGGTAGGTTTTGGGGAGGTTTGCAAGTTCCTGGGCCATCACGTACTGAGTATAGTCATCCTGCCACGTGAAACCTGCGGACAAAATTTGCCAAAACTGTGTTATCACTTTGGAAGTTTAGCCAAAGCTCTTGCTTCAGTCTCATAAGTAGTTGCATTTCAGCATCAAGTTGACGGTTTCATCAGCACAGTAAGGCTCCCTCTCAGTGCAGTTTATCAAGATCTTCTCCTTATAGAAATTCCAGCTTTCTGAAACTTCTAGGCCAAATAGAAAACTGATGCTCTGTTACATTGTAAAAAAAAGGCTTGGGTGAGAGTGGAGAAAGATGGCCAGATAGAAGCCTCCCAATCCTCCTCCCTGTAGGAACACCAAATTGTCCACACAGAAGAGCACCTTTGTAAGAACCACATTTCAGGTGATGGTCACAGTACCTGGTTTTAACTCCATACCAACGAAGGAGGCACTGGAGAGGGTAGGAAGATAGTTTTGAATTGCAATGTCACCCTCACCCGTCCCCCTGCCGTGGCAGTGTGCCAGAGAGAGAGAACTTGGGTGCTGGGGGAGAGAGCACAGTGATTGTGGGACCGTGTACTGGAACTCAATGCTGCCCTGTCACAGTCACAACTACACCAGGCAGAACTCAACCAGTGCCCATGGAGGGAACATTTAGACCAGCCCTAGACAGAGGAGCACCCATCCCAGTGTTCAGAATCTGAGTTCTGACAAGCCCCACCATGGGCTAAAGTGCTCTGGGGTCCTAAATAAACTTGAAGGCTGCCTCAGATGCAAGGGCTATAATTCCTGGGCATGTCCTGGTGCTGTGCGTGGCCTGGAGCCGCTGGACTTGGGGTGCACACAACCTAGGGAGGTACCAGCTGGAGCAGCTACGGGGGCTGTGTCACCCCTCCCTCGACCCTAGGCAGCACAGCTCACAGCTCCAAGAGACTCCTTCCTTCCACTCAAGGAGAGGAGAGGGAGGCATAAAGAGGACTTTCTCTTACAACTTGGTTTACTGCTCAGCCAAAGTAGGACACAGCTCTAGGCACAGTCATGAGGCCCCATTCCAAGCCCTACCTCCCAGAGGACATTTCTAGACACACCCTGGGCCAAATGAAAATCCACTGCCTTGAGGGGAAGGTCCCAGTCCTGGAAGGATTCATCGTCTGCTGACTGCAGAGCCCTGGGGCCGTGAATAATCAGCAGTGGTACCCAGGCAGTACACGTGGGCCTTGGGTGAGACTCAGAGGTGTCCCGGCTTCAGGTCTGACCCAGTACAGTCCCAGTGGTGGTGGCCACAGACGTGCCTGTGCTACACCCTCCCAACCCTCGGAAGCTCAGGACAGAGAGAGAGAGACCCCGTTTGTTTGGGAGAAAGTAAGAGAAAAAAAGCAAAAGTCTGCCTGGTAATGCACAAAATTCTTCTGGATAGTATCCAAGACTACCAAGGTGGCACTTCTGTGAGTCAGCAAGAGCCATGAAATTGCCAGGCTTTGAGTGCCCCCGATGCAGATATGGCTGCCGGGATTAAAAACTGAGATCACAGAACCAACGTCCCTTCAGATACCTCAAGCACCTTCCCAAGAAGGATGAGAGCACAGATTTTAGAGAATCCAATAAATGTCTAAGACACCAACAAATGTCCAAAAGCATCAAGACCATCGAGGAAAACATGACCTCAGCAAATGAGCTAAGTGAGGCCCCAGGGACCAATCCTGGAGGGTTAGGGATAGGTGACCTTTCAGACAAAGAATTCAAAATCGTTGTTTTGGAAAAATTCAGTGAAACTCAAGATAGCACAGGGAAGACAAACAGAATCCTATCAGATAAACTTACAATGAAATTGGAATAATTAAAAACAATCACGCAAAACCTCTGGAGTTGAAAAATGTAACTGTCCGCGCAGAATGCCTCAGACTCTCTTGACAGCAGAGTTGGCCAAGCAAGACGAATAATTAGTGAGCTTGAAGACTGCCTGTTTGAAAACATGCAGTCAGAGGAGACAAAAGAAAAAGCATTTTTAAAATGAAGCTAACCTACGAGACTGAGAAAATAGCTTTTAAAGGACAAATCTAAGACTTATTACCCTTAGAGAGGAGGCAGACAGAGAAAGAAAGGGGTAGAAAGTTTACTTGAAAGGACAATGATAATAACTTCTCGAACCTAAAGAAAGATACCCATGTTCAAGTATAAGAAGGCTTTGGGGCCGGGTGCGGTGGCTCACACCTGCAATCCCAGCACTTTGGGAGGCTGAGGCGGGTGGATCACGAGGTCAACAGATCAAGACCATCCTGGTCAACATGGTGAAACCCTGTCTCTACTAAAAATACAAAAAATTAGCTGGGCATGGTGGCGCGTGCCTGTAATCCCAGCTACTCAGGAGGCTGAGGCAGGAGAATTGCCTAAACCCAGGAGGCAGAGGTTGCGGTGAGCCGAGGTCACGCCATAGCACTCCAGCCTGGGTAACAAGAGCAAAACTCCATCTCAAAAAAAAAAAAAAAAGAAGACTTTGGAACACTAAACAGATTCAACCCAAACCACCTCAAGACATTTAATAATCAAACTCCCAAAGGTCAAGAATAAAGAAAAGACCCTAAGAGCTGCAAAAGAAGAGAAACAACACACAATGGAGCTCCAGTACATCTGGGAGCAGAATTCTCAGTGGAAACGTCACAGGCCAGGAAACAGTGGCATGGTTACTTAAAGTGTTAGGAAAGAAACCCTTTTATGCTGAAATTGTATGTCCAACAAAATACGTTTCAAATATGAAGGAAAAATACTTTCCCAAACAAACAAAAGCTAAGGATTCCATCAACACCAACCTGTCCTATAAGAAATGCTAAAGGGATTTCTTCAGTCTGAAATAAAAGAATGATAATGAGCCGTAAGAAATCATCTGAAGGTAAACTCATTGGTAGTAGTAAGTACACAGAAAAACACCGAGCATCATGACGCCACAATTGTGGTGCATAAATCACTCATATCTGGAGTTAAAAGACTAAAAGATAAACTGATCAAAAATGATAACTACAACAGCCTTTCAAGACACAGATAGCAGTGCAGTAAGATATAAACAGAAACAAGAACAAGTTAAAAAGTGGGGATGAGCTAAAGGGTGGAGTTTTATTAGTTTTCTCTGTGCTGCTTTGTTTATGCAATCAACGCTAAGCTGTCATCCATTTAAAATAATGCGTTATAAGATGTTATTTGCAAGCCTTATTGTAACTTCAAATCAAAAAATACAGAACAGATACACAAAAAAATATAAAGCAAAAAATTAAAACCACCACCAAAGAAAATCACCTGCACTTAAAAAAACAGTAAGGAAAGAAATAAGAAAGAAAAGACCACAAAACAATCAGAAAACAAGTAACAAAATGGCAAGGATAAGCTCTTACCTATCAATAATAACATTGAGTGCAAATGGACTAAAAGACACAGAGTGGGCAAATGGATTTTTTTAAAAAGACCCAATCATCTGTTGCCTACAAGAAATACACTTCACCTGTAAAGACAAACATAGACTAAAAATAAAGGGATAGAAAAAGATAGTCCAGGAAAATGGAAACCAAAAAAGAGCAACAGTAGCTGTACTTATATAAGACAGAATAGATTTCAAGACAAAACTACCCAAAGAGACGAAGAAGGTCATAATGAAAAAGGAGTGAGTTAAGCAAGAGGACATAACAGTTGTAAATATATATGCACCCAACCCGACACTGGAGCACTCAGATACAGAAAACAAATTTTATTAGAGTTAAAGCGACAGACAGACCCCAATACAATAAGAGCTGAAGACATCCACACGCCACCTTCAGCACTGAACCGAGGATCTAGAGAGAAATTCAACAAAGAAACATCAAGCAAGCTGCACTAGTGACCAAGCGGACCTGGCCGACATTTACAGAACATTTCATTCAGTGGCTATGGAATCCGCATTCCTCTCCTCAACACAAGAATAAATCTCAAGAATAGACCATACATTATGGCAACAAAACACATCTTTAAAAATTCGAAAACAAATTGAAATTATATCAAGTAATTTCTCTGATTACAATAGAATAAAACTAGAAATCAATAACTGGGAAAATTTTGGAAACTACACAAACACATGGAAATTAAACAATATTATCCTGAGTGACCAGTGGGTCAATGAAGAAATTAAGAAGAAAATTTAGAGATTTCTTGAAACAAATAATTTTTTTTTTTTTGAGACGGAGTTTCGCTCTTGTTACCCAGGCTGGAGTGCAATGGCGCGATCTCGGCTCACTGCAACCTCCGCCTCCTGGGTTCAGGCAACTCTCCTGCCTCAGCCTCCCGACTAGCTGGGATTACAGGCACGCACCACCATGCCCAGCTAATTTTTTTTTGTATTTTTAGTAGAGACGGGGTTTCACCATGTTGACCGAGATGGTCTCGATCTGTTGACCTCGTGATCCACCTGCCTCGGCCTCCCAAAGCGCTGGGATTACAGGCGTGAGCTACCACACCTGGCCCGAAACAAATAATTATGCAAACACAACATACCAAAACCTGTGGGATGCAGCAAAAGCAGCACTAAGAGGAAAGTTGATAGCTCTAAACACCTACATCTGAAAAAGAGAAAACCCTCAAACAACCTAATGACGCATCTTACAGAACTAGAAAAGCAAGAGCAAACCAAACCCAAAATTAGTAGAAGAAAAGAAATAAAAAGGTCAGAGCAGAAATAATTGAAGTTGGAACGAAGAAAACAACACAAAAGATCAATGAAACAAAAAGTTGGTTTTTGAAAAGATAAACTAAATTGACAAACCTTTATCAAGACTAAGAAAAAAAAAAGACCCAAATAAATAAAATCAGAGATGAAAAAGGAGACATTACAACGAATAGCGCAGAAATTCCAGGGATCATTAGCGGCTACTGTGAGGAGCAGCATGCCGGTAAATTAGAAATCCCAGGAGAAATGGATAAATTCCTAGACACATAGAACCTACCAAGGCTGAACCACGAAGAAATCCAAAACCTGAACAGATCAGTAACAAGTAATGAGCTTGAAGCTGTAATATGGTCTCCAAGCAAAGAAAAGCCTGAGACT